CATTTCTAAGTTGATACATTTCTAGTTGATACAGAGTTGATACATTTCTAGTTGATTCATTTCTAAGTTGATAACATTTCTAGTGATCTTCAGACATTTTTTAGAATGAACCCATAAAAGAATTTTGAAGAGCTATGTACTGCTTGTTCATTTCTAAGTTGATACCTAAATTTTCCTTCATTAATTTAAATATTTATAAAAGATATAATTTCAAATTTTGATATCTTAAACTAAGACTTACATCATTCTTACTGTATCCGGCAGGCGTGGTATGGTGGCTCACGCCTGTGATCCCAACACTTTGGGGGACCGAGGCGGGTGGATCGCGAGGTTAGGGGTTCCAGACCAGCCTGGCCAATATGGTGAAACCCCATCTCTACTAAAAATACAAAAATTAGCCAGGCATGGTGGTGCATGCCTGCAGTCCCAGCTACTAGGGAGGCTGAGGCAGAAGAATTGCTTGAACCTGGGAGGCGGAGGTTGCAGTGAGCTTGGATCATGCCACTGCATTCCAGCCTTGGCAATAGGGCAAGACTGTCTCAAAAAAAGAAAAAAAAAAAGTATCCGGTGGATTCCAAGTACCCTAAAAATCTAATACCTGCTATCATTCACTTAAAAATGTATGAACAAGCTCTTTAACAAATTTTATATAGTTCTCTTTCTCCTTAAACTTCTAATTCCATTTACTTCTTGTAATTATTAGTATATAATTTACTAAACTTTTAAAACTAAATATTACTAAATATTTTTTAACATTTTTATGACCTGTGAAACCTAAAAAGTACAATTTTTATTGAAAATGCATCTCTTAATGAGAAATATGGTGTTTCTCCCCAATTGGTTCAGGTATTCATGGATTAATATTACCTAATGGTGGAAGGAGATAAGGTGCAATATCAATCCTTTACCTGCTTTTTATTTTTATAGACATGAGCACTGAGAAACCTTGTTTGCATAATTGGAAAAGAAAGAGATTTGTTACAATTATATTCTTTGAGTCTCTGAACTTCTAAATTATATGCCAACAATCACAGAGTGATCTATTAATATTATCAAATACTATCAAATAGAGTCTTCTTTTAATTTTGTTAAAAGCAAGGGATTAGAAACCACTGAACTTCCAAAAGGATTTATCTAGTTATTAGAGTCTCAGTTTCAGTTTTATTAAGCATGATTATTAATTATCTGTGACCTTTATACTCAGAGGCACCTTGTTAATCAGATATTGATTTCCATGCTTCTTTGCCAAAACAATATTTTTTATAAAATTCTTTTATTATTATGTTTCAGGATTTTTTTGTTAAACTGAAATGCAGATTCAGCTCACTCACTGTATAGAAAAGAACTGGCATTTGTGGAATTGGCAAAGCCAGTTTTCATTTCAAAAGAATCAGCCAAATCAGACCTACTTTCTGTTAGAAAAATGTTTGACTTTATTCTTCCATTCAAATAAATACATTAACATTCATTTTGAGAACTATTATAAAAATTGTTAGGAAATAAGTGATTAACTGTAGCTTGTAAAACAGACCACTAAGCAACCAGTTAAGATTAAAATTATGTAAACCTACTATTAACATAATAAATGTTAAAAATGAGGCAGTACTATTTCTCATTATATAATTATTCCTAATTATATATATAATGTAAGGTATAATGTGTAGTTAAATCCATCAGTTTTGAGACATCATATAGAAGGTGTATATTCCCCTGGTAAATGTGTGTGTGCCTGCTTTCATCAAACTCTTGTTGTTCAACTTCTTAACAATTAAATGAGAATCATGTCTAAAAATCAGAAATAACTAATAATCTTGTTACACAAATTTTTTCTTCTGTATTTTTTAGAAAGGAAAGCTGTTATTTGCTAAGAAATAATGAATTGTGCAGCTAGCAATTTCATTTTTTACTAGGAGATAGAAAATAATAAACATTTGTAGGATGAAATAGGAAGACTGATTGCAATGGGAATATTTTGATATGAAGTGAAAAATAATCGCTTCCTCCCAGCTCCCTAGGTTTTTACACCCTGGACCATGCATCAAGATTCGGTGTAGGGGAGGGATAGTCCTTTCTTTTGTAAAGTAGGACAAGGACTATGGTAAAAGTGGGGATAACGGTGGAATGGAGAGTGTGCATGAATATGTCAACTGGCTCTCAAACAGATTGGTTTTAGAAGTTTTGTGTTTTTGTTTTTGTTTTTTTCCGAGATGGAGTCTCTCTCTGTCACCCAGGCTGATGCAGTGGCACAATCTCGGCTCACTGCAACCTCCCCCTTCTGGGTTCAAGCAGTTCTCCTGCCTCAGCCTCCCGAGTAGCCGTGATTACAGGTGCTCACCATGATGCCCGGCCAATTTTTGTATTTTTAGTAAAGACTGGGTTTCACCATGTTGGTCAGGCTGGTCTTGAATTCCTGACCTCTCAATACACCTGCTTTGGCCTCCCAAAGTGCTGGGGATTACAGGTATAAGCCATTGTGCCCTGGCCTTTTTTTTTTTTTTTTTTTTTTTTGAGATGAAGTTTCACTCCTGCTGTTGCCCACACTGGAGTATAGTGGCTCAATCTGGGCTCACTGCAACCTCCCACTCCTGGGTTAAATCAATTCTCATGCCTCAGCCTCCCAAGTAGCTGGGATTACAGGTGTCGGCCACCACTCCTGGCTAATTTTTTGTATTTATTTATTTATTTATTTTCTAAGATGGACTCTCGCTCTGTTACCAGGGCTGGAGTGCAGTGGCCCAATTTGGCTCACTGCAACTTCCCCCTACTGGGTTCAAGCGATTCTCCTGCCTCAGCCTCCTGAGTAGCTGTGGTTACAGGTGTGCACCACCATGCTTAGTTGTGTATTTTTAGCACAGACAGGGTTTCACCATGTTGGCCAGACTGGTCTCGAACTCTTACCTCAGGTGATCCTCCCTCCTCGGCCTCCCAAAGTGTTGGGATTATAGGCGTGAGTCATCGCACCTGGACTGGTGTTAGCAAATATTTCTTTTTTTTTTTTTTTTTTTTGAGACGGAGTTTCGCTCTTGTTACCCAGGCTGGAGTGCAATGGCGCGATCTCGGCTCACCGCAACCTCCGCCTCCTGGGTTCAGGCAATTCTCCTGCCTCAGCTTCCTGAGTAGCTGGGATTACAGGCACGTGCCACCATGCCCAGCTAATTTTTTTTTGTATTTTTAGTAGAGACGGGGTTTCACCGTGTTGACCAGGATGGTCTCAATCTTTTGACCTCGTGATCCACCCGCCTCGGCCTCCCAAAGTACTGGGATTACAGGCTTGAGCCACCGCGCCCGGCCATATTTCTTTTTTCTTTTTGTTTTTTTCCTTAAACACCATCGCTTGTCAGCAGAAAGGAAATATTTCACAGAGAAGTTGAAGATCTAGAAATTTATTCCTTTAAAACTCTCCTCCGGGCCGGGCGCGGTGGCTCAAGCCTGTAATCCCAGCACTTTGGGAGGCCGAGGCAGGTGGATCACGAGGTCAAGAGATCGAGACCATCCTGGTCAACATGGTGAAACCCCGTCTCTACCAAAAATACAAAAAATTAGCTGGGCATGGTAGCGCGTGCCTGTAATCCCAGCTACTCAGGAGGCTGAGGCAGGAGAATTGCCTGAACCCAGGAGGCAGAGGTTGCGGTGAGCCGAGATCGCGCCATTGCACTCCAGCCTGGGTAACAAGAGCGAAACTCCCTCTCATAAAAAAAAAAAAAAAAAAAAACTCTCCTCCGACTGATTTGAGGATATTGCCTGGATATTCCTTGCAGTCTTCATATACCCTTGGAAAATCTTCATTTACCCAACTTGGAAGACTTCTTAATATAGGCATATCCAAACTCCAAGGTCCCTGACTATCCATTATTTTGGGACAACAAAGCAAATGTCCTAGGAAGTAAGGAAGAAGACTTGTTCCTGGAATAGAAGTAAGTTATGAGAGAAGTCAAAGACAATGGCACCAAGTTGGTGTAGTAGGAAGGTCATGTATACGGTCCTTGGCTTTGCAGTTCTAGAAGTGTGATTTTGTCAGTCCACACAAAGGTGTTCATGTTTTGTCACATTAAATCAAATTCATAGGAAGTTTAATGTGCATAATAGAATGCCAGTGTATTCTTTCATACTTATAGCCACCAAGTGAACTGGATTATCTCTCCTGTTGGGGAATCCTATCTGAAGATTATAATCAGAAAGTTACATGAGGAGTGTGGATCTTGAGCATGGCTATTGTCAATAAGCTGATGAGCAGATGCTCACTGCCTGGCATATAATAGGAGCTCAGTAATCATGGAATGAATGTACTTCATCTATAACTTCACTATAGATGCTAAAGGGGAAGTTTAAGATTCTGATGGGCCACCCCAACATGTTTTTTGATAAGGTAGATTTTTCCTTGTTCCTCAAGTTATACTCTTAAATGGCTATATCGTGTATATATTAAATCCAATAAAATATCATGTCAGGGAATTATATAATTGCAATAGTTAAGTTTTATCTGTCATCTCTGATCCTAGAAATTGGGCCTGTTTGTTTATAAAAGAGATTGGGCATTGCTTTCTTGTGCCCTATAGGAGTAGTGATGGTGGTAATGGCTGAATGATCTGTATTTACAATACTATTTGGTGGCCAAGAGTGTACTACATAAAAATAATGACACTGGGTGACCCTCAGTTCTGGCGCTTTCCTAGAGGTGGGACATCTTGGCTAGGAAGGTGCTGAACCGCCTGTAGCCTGGCCAGCTGTTGTGGACTGTACTATGGCAAGGAGGAGCAACAAATTTCCCCTACTTCTAAGTCCCCCTCAGGAGATAATACTTGATACTGCTTTTAAGGATAGACCAAAAAACAAACAAAACAAACAAACAAAAACAAGCCTTTTCAATTTTAAAATCATTAGGATGAGTTGCCAAAAAATTTGGGTATGTTTTATCTGGAAGCCAGAAGACATTGTCTCCTCAAAGCTTTTTTCTGGCTTTAGGATAAGCTGTTGAGATAGAGGAAAAGATGCCAGGCTGGGGAGTTTCATTTAGTATTTTAATAATAATAAAAAAGACATACAAAATCCAAACATTTCTTTTTACAATTCAGATACATATTTTTCCCCAAGTGCAAAATACTCTATGAACTGCATCATTTGCTGTTTATTATTGATTTTGTAGGAGATGCTTACTATATAGGCAGCAGTGGAAGGCAGATATAAATACAGTATTTTGCGATTTCTCCTGCACTTAGTAAAAAGCCTTCCACATGGCGATGATTATTCTCTGAAACTTCAGTTCAGCTCACACAGAAGAATAAAGTTTTCAGTTTGTTCAAATTGCTATAACCTGTGGTATCTAAAAAAGCTGATGACAACTGGGGGTTCTATTCCTTCTAATCATATATTTCCTTGTACAAATAATGGAGCAAGGATAGGGTGTGCTTCCTTTGAGATGGGTCACATGTAAAAATATCCTTGTGTTGTTTGCTCCCACTTTTCTCTTACTGTGCTTAAGAAAGAAACCTGGAAGGTTAATATTCTGCTTATGGTCAGTTATGCTTTGTCTTTGTACCCCGTTTGTGGCTGTAATATTGAGGTTAAGCAGCAAATACAAAAGTTTGAATGCTCTGTAATGTTTTCTGACATTCTGAGATACAACTTCGTAATCCATTCCAGAGTCACCTCAAACATGTATATAGAGAACACTTCTCATATATAAAAAGTTTCTTTAGGGCCAAAGACCAGGACTGTGTTACTGAACTTTCAGCAACAAATCTGAGTCTCCACTACCTCAAACTGACCAAATCCTGAGGGCTGTTAAATCGGTCACAGCTCAGTGTCAGCCTTTGGGGATTTCTAGGCCTGGGGAAGGCAGCTCAAGTCCAGGATCTGGTCAGTTTTCTCCTGATTCCAAGAGTTGTCTCAGGTTGTAGGAATAGGCATGGCCTGATAATATAGAAAGAGGGAGACAGAGAAGTAAGGAGGAACTGCCGCATTGCTGAGGATATAAGTACCTTTCTGGTATCTTCATGGAAACTGCTTCCCATTTCCAGGCTTAGAGCAGGTCAGATTTTGTACTAAGATGAATGGAGGCCCCACAATACTGTAGCCCCACATCCTACCCTGCAGAGAGGCCTCTGGGTTGCTTCATGAAGGGTTCCTATTTATACCATTTTTCCATTTCCCCTCCAGTGGTAAAAACCTCTTTTCTATCTGACCTGTAAAGACCTAGAATGTCCCTGAGTGTTGACTCCTCATTCAATGAATTTCACTTAACCCCTAGTTTGATGTCCCAGGGCCAGCTTCCTCCATAGGTTCAGCAGCAGCTTTGCCTGGGTTCTTAACCTCCAACTTGAAGGACCTAAATTAAACTTGGTGGACAATACCAGGTTTTTACCTGCTTACCAAGATCTGCCTTGATATCCATTAAGAAGCCTAGTGGTCTATGCCTTCCATACTGTGGACCTCATTTGCAGGTCTCATAAACCTGCAAATGGAATAAATGGCTAGAGGAAGTATATTTGTATGTATGGATGGTGTGATGGGAAAGGGAGAAAGGAGAAGCCAGACCCTGAAGGCACAAGTCGAGAAGCATGCTCACTGTTTGGCTTTCCAAGAGATGCAAAATGGCAAGAAGAGAGGAATCAGAAAGTTATCCTAGCTTCTGGTGAAGAATTAGGATGGTCAGAATTGATTAAAGCAGTTTTCACGGCGCTTCCTGAGAAGTACAGACACTCCTACCAAATGACCATTTCCCTTGTTTGGAAGCAGCCATTTTGCATCTTTATAGTGGCCCTCTTTGACCCAGAAAGACAAAGGTAATCAGACACTCTACCCACAAGGGCCATGATGTTGGCTAATGGTTGTCAGGGAATCTAGCTGTGTCATTGACTACCCACCGCTACGGCTGTGGCTGTCTTCGCTGGTGAATGCTACTGATGGGAGGGTAGGGGGTCAGGCTCCTTTATTTACTCTTGAGGCTCCTAGAGGAGCAGTAGCCTAGGACAGTCACCTAGAAATGAACCTGAGTGGTTCTGTGAGTTACCAGGAGAGTTAAAAAGAAAAAAAAGAAAAAGAAATGAACCTGAGGAGTCAGTTGGTAGCCTTTGATTGATTAGGACTACAGCTTTGGGAGAACTAGAGGGAGAAAATTGAAAATAATGTTATAGGCAGCAGTTGGATTAAGGGCAGAATGTTTGCAGGCTTTGGGCTTGGGCACAGACTTGATTCTTCTTCCATTTGATTCTTCCTTTTGAAAAACAGTAGTTGAGGAAGCTAGGCTTGAAGTCAACTTTGAGAGGGAATTGACCAGAGCCAGGCAGATATCTGATGCCTTCTGTCTTATTCTTGGCTCCCACAGCCTTGACTCTGGCTCAGGACCGAGTCAGCCCATCCCCAGGTGGTATGTCCTGGTCCTCTTCCATGTGTACACCAGGGGATAACAGGATAAAGACAGGGAAAAGATGGAGGTTTTCCCTACTTGGGGTAGAGATTCATTGACCGGTTCCATTGACTTCTATAATCATGAGGTCCACGCTGACTCCATCGAGAGCATAGCAACAGCAGGACTGATTTAGCAAACATAGGTCCCTCTCCTTCCTGCTCCATCAAATCCCCAGAATTACTTTCCTACACATCAGATGCCTCTGCACAATTACCCTGGATTACCACAGCCAAGGGTTCTAGGTGGCCACTGGTGGCATAGAAACAGATCAGATGCTCCAGCACTCAAGGTACATGAGATTGAAAACTTATTTTCTTCCACTCCAAACATACTCTTTTCTCTTGGGCAGCTATAAATAGGATTTTTCTAATAGAGGAAAAAGAAACAAAAACAAAAAACAAACCCAGAAAACAAAAACTCCTCCCTCTAGACAACATAGGAAGACTCAAAATGATTGCACTTATTAGGTGTGGACAGGGTGGGCAGGAGGCTTGCCAAGTGCACACACATTCCTTTTTGCTGGCCACAGCCTGAGGCCAGAGGTAGGTGGCTCCAGGCTGGCTGCAGAGTGGGGTCCTCTTTGGTGAAGCCCACAAACCAGCTGGGGCTACAAGGGAAAGACAACTGTAGGGCAAGGCCTAGGCTGGTTTCATGTCAATAGCCGTATTTCTTTAAGGACAACATGTAGCAAGGGGAGCAGGCTCCCCCAGGGAGCATTCATGTGGGGCTGAGGAAGTGGCTGGGCCAGGGAAGACAAGTAAGAAAAGGTATTAGTGTTTGAAGTTGACTTCCAATTGTTCTGTGTCTAGTCCTTTAGACGATACATTTTCTTTTCTTTTTTGGGGGCAATGCTTTACAAACTGGTTTCTGTCCTGCAGAGCTAGTCTTTTAGAAAGCCACAGCGGGGCCTTCAACATGGTAATGCCTGCTGCTCTTCCTCATTTAGCCAGTGTCCACTAACTCAGTGTTGTGGGTCATTTGTAAACCCTTATGGAGTAGACCCCAGGCAGACGTGGGGAAAGAAAGAAAAAGAATCTGTATAGACAAGAAAGCTGGCCATGTGGGCAGTCCAGAGCTCAAACAATGTGTCCCAGAGGACTGGTGCTGGCATTAAGCCTGTAAATCAAAGGCTTACAGTCCCTTTGGCAGGTCCTTCTTTGGCAGAACCCTGGGCTGTTAGAATCACCCTAGAGAGCAGAGCCAGGGGGCATTTTGGCTCCTGACTAGCAAGGCACAACCCTATAATGGCAGAAGCCCTTCTTTCCCATCCCCATTCCCCACCAGACCCACTTCCTTCATGGGCCTCTGGCACCCTTCCAAGCTGATAGGGCTAGGAATCTGAGCTGGTAAAATGGGCAGTGGAAGGGGCTGTACTGTTTCTTTACCTCTCAGGGGGACTAGAGCCAGTACTGAATGACTTTTCTATGGGGCATGTAAGAAAAGGGAAAACAGTAGAGAGACAGGCAGAAAGAGACAAGGAAAGGAAACTAGAAAGACAGAAAGGGAGAGTGCCTGGTCTGTGTAGTGATATTTTCTTTTTCTCTCGGAAGAGAGGAGAGAGTTCCTTGTCTGAGGGGGAGAGGGGGCTGCCAGCTCTGAGGGCTAAGGAGTCTGAGGGCTTAAAAAATTGGGTCTCTGATCCTAGGGTTACTATTTGTAGGGCCTCAGGAAGCTGGAAACTTTGGAGCGGAGCAGCTTGATGAAGGATTTTGGCAGCATCTCCTTGTGTTTCTCTGTGTACTTGAAGTAGTTCTGGGGGTGCGCTAGCACCTCAAAGAAGGCTTTGATGAGCTTCTTGTCCTGCAGAGGATGGCAGGGAACAATGTCAGCCTCAGTGTTGGGGGTGGGAAAGAGGAACACTATGACTCAGCAGCCCTTCTTGATGTCTACTAGGCATCTCATGTATGAAGATATGCATATATCTAGAGGTAAACTCTGGATTCCCTTCCCCACCGTCTGCCCCTACTTTGGAATTCCACAAATGAGTCAATGGCAGCACCATCCTTCTGTTGCTTAGGTCCCAATCCTTGGAGCCATCCTTGAATCCTCTTTCTTGCTTACAGTGAAAGCAAATCTTATTGACTCTATCTTCAAAATGTGTCTGGATCTGACCACTTCTCACCATCTTCCCAAGCCATCATCATCTCTGGCTTAAAGCTGTAGTAGTCTCCTAATTGGTCTCTATGCTTCTATCTTTGTCCCTCCATAAACTGTTCTCCCCACAGCAGCCAGAGTGACTTTTTGTGTTTTTGATTGGTTCATCTTTTTCCTGTTTGAAACTCTTTTCAGGTTTCTTTTATCACCCAGAGTTAAAGCTGAGTCCCTTGCATGGTCCATAGGCTGAATGTGATCTGTGTCTTAACTTTCCACCTCCACTTTTTCTCCCTCTGCTGAGCCACACTGGCTGGCCTTCTTGAAGTTCCTAAACACACTAAATTGCTCCCATGCTCCTCAGCCTGGAATGCTCATCCTCATCTTCTAATGGGGAAGGAGCCCTTTTACCTCATTTGGGTCTATTCTTCTTAGAGGCCTTTCTTGACCACCCTGTAACAGCAGCATGGTATGTGGAGAGCCTACTAGGTACCAGGCACTGTGCATTAAAACTCAGACTTTCTGGCTCCTAGGCTAGTTCTCCTTCCATGGCATCAGTGGAATAAGAAGTAGGGATTTCAGCCTCTCAACCCACTTTTTTTTTTTTTTTTTTTTTTGATGGAGTTTCACTCTTGTTACCCAGGCTGGAGTGCAATGGCGCGATCTCGGCTCACCGCAACCTCCGCCTCCTGCGTTCAGGCAATTCTCCTGCCTCAGCCTCCCAAGTAGCTGGGATTACAGGAACGTGCCACCATGCCCAGCCAATTTTTTGTATTTTTAGTAGAGGCGGGGTTTCACCATGTTGACCAGGATGGTCTCGATCTCTTGACCTCATGATCCACTCGCCTCGGCCTCCCAAAGTGCTGGGATTACAGGCTTGAGCCACCACGCCTGGCCCTCTCACCCCACTTTAATTTGAATAGCTGCACTGCTTTATGTATTGGAGTTCCACAGTACATTTGATTTGAAATAAGGGTTCAGATGGTTTAAAAATGTTTGAAAAGTGTTGTTAAAATTATATTCTTTGAAGTCTGTAAGTTCTAGGTGATTTCTGTCATCAATGCTTTTATTTTGATGATAATATAAAAATATTTTAGTAACTTTTTTTGCAGTGATAATTTATGAAGGATAATTCTATTTCTTAAAGAAGATTTTCTCAAATTGGGATCCACTGACCCAGGGCATCTAGTCCAGTCTTCAATGTTGGAAGTATTTCTTTTCCTTGAAAAGAAATCTATACATGAATTGATTTCTGAGAAAGCTATGCTAGATCTGCTACTGTGTTTGTTTTTTTGAGACAGAGTCTCACTCTGTTGCCCAAGTATGATGGCATGATCTCAACTCACTGCAACCTCCGTTTCCTGGGTTCAAGCAATTCTTCTGCCTCAGCTTCCCAAGTAGCTGGTATTACAGGTGCCTGCCACCACACCTGGCTAATTCTGTATTTTTAGTGGAGACAAAGTTTCACCATGTCGGCCAGGCTGGTCTCAAACTCCTGACCTCATGTGATCCACCATGCCTAGCTGATCTGCTGCTTCTTAATGGGGCCTGGGGAGGGAATAAGGGAAGGAAGGGACTGATGCAAAAGTATCTTTCTGTACTTCATTTTCCACGTATCTCTTGGTGGAAGAGGTAGAGACATTTCTTCTCCTCGCCTTCCCTTTCTCTTCCAAGTTTCCCCAAGGTGTAATATAGAGTGGGTGACACTACAGTCAGATGGGCCCAAATCCCAGCTTTACCATGGGCAGGTTCTTTAACTCTCTATGCCCCAGTTTTCTCATCTGTAAAGAGGGAATGGAGAAAGCACCTACCTCATAGAGCTATTGTGTATATCAAATGAGAATATTCATGTAAGCACTTAGCATATTGCCTGCACATTATTACATGTTGATTAAATGTTCGCTGTCATTACTGTTAACAATCACTTACCTTTAAAATCTCCTGGTGATTTTCAGAGGCATAGAGCCGGCCATCTCGCACAATGTCTTCTACCAGCTGCTCATAGTCCTCTGCAAAGTCAACCAAGGAGGGGCTCAGGGGTGGGAGCTCTTCCTGCTCTCCTGGTTCCCTCTTAAAACTTATGTACCTCCCCTTCTCACCCACCTCCTTGGCTCACCATCATAGGTAACATAGGGAATCTGGAAGCCACGGGCGCTGTTGGCTTCGCTTGTCTTGAAGTTGATCCAGAGTTTCCTGGAACGGGCAGTGAAGGCAATGGGGCGCTCATAGGTCTGGCAGGTCTCATAAGTGGTAATGGAGGATGGGGATGCTGGGAAGGCAAGCAGCAGGTCAGTAGAGCAGCAGGGCAGGCTACCCAAGACCCCTAGAACGTGGGCCGTAGAGCTTATGGTGGGGGGTATGGGGAAAGAGAGAACCATTCTGACAAAGGCTACCCCTTCACATACACACATCCCACCCCGCACCCTCTCCCATTGCCCATTGGGCTCATTCACAATTCCTCCTTGATACCCGGCGCTCACATAGTGTAACACATTTGACATTTAAATGAATGGAATGGCAAAAATGCTATGATAGGAGTGATGCACGTAACACCATTGGAGTTCTGGCCCCACTGCTAGCTTTCTTAACTCTGTTCTCCACCAAACGTGTATCATTGTTGTTTTCCTCTGTTAGCTTCTCTCTTCCTAAAAGCCTCTCACTATTTCACCCTCATAGATCCCTGACTTCACTGCCTCAGTTCTTCCTGTATCAGTCTCTCTGTCTTCCCGCCTTAACTAGATTTGGACTGCCCTTCCCTGGCCCAGCTCTGCAAGCCACCCACAGTTCTTTCTCATGACGAGGACGTCCCCACACTCATCCTCTGATGGCAGGAAGATCTCAGGTACCACGATAAGGATCTTGCGCTTGGGTGGGGGGTTGATGTTCCAGATGCACTCCACGCCAGCTGGGTAGTTGCCCGGGTAGTTGGGGGACTCGATATAGCCAGTGAACTCACCCAGCTCCCCACCACACTGACGATCTGCAGTCAAGCCCCAGTAGATAGAACAAGAAAAGGAAGGGAAGTCAGTGGGGAAATGAGTTGGGGGAATCGAAGAGTTCTGAAGTAGAGGTCAGACATTTATGGGAAGCCTCCATCCTAGTTCATCATTATTTTCCAAGCTCTGGGTCCATCTTCCTTCCTTCCCTTTTAGTACCTTCTCTTCTGACTTCACCTATCTCTGCTTCCTCATTACCTGTCTCCAGGGAGAGGGTGCTACAGGGTCCAGCCTAGCAACTGGCCTTGAGATTGAGTACGTTGGGGAGAAGTGGAAAGTGGGGCTTTCCTCCCCCTCCCCCTCCCAGCCCTGCTCCCTGTTGGTTTCACACCCCTTCTTTACATTAATCTACTGCTCCCAGGCCTCTTTCCTCCCTTTTCCACAGCCTGGCTTGCCACATACTCTTGCATTGGGCCACACTGGTAGATCCATCAAAGTCTGTGCTTGTGTTTCCTGGACAGCGGGTGCAGAAGTTCTGACGAAAGTCAGGCTGATAGGAGCCCATGGCACAGCGAATACAGCGATGGATGCTGGTGTCGTAGTAGTGCCCTGGGGAGCACTGGACTGCAGGCAAGGGAGAAAGGCAGGAATCAAGATGGTGGGCAGCTGAGAGTTACGGGGCATGGGATGGACAGGATACATTCATCTTGGAGAATCAGGAGGTCAGATACATCAAAGTTCTTTCTAGGGTCTCAACCTTTCCCAGTCATGCCAGAATTTAAGCCCATGGAAAAACAAAGTTTACAGAGTGGTTGGCTACAGTGCCAATCCTTTTCTTTCAGATGCTGAGCACAGTTCCAAACCTATATAGAAATTCATCTGGGATATGGAGAATATGCCACCAGTTAAAGTGGAGGGGTAAGTGGGACTGTTAATGATTTCTCAGTTCCCAAGCTTGGGACCGGTGGAGAGGCAGGGTGGGTACTTGAAGCAGCATGGTATTGTTGGTCAAGTAGTTGGGCCTGTTGCTGTTTTGGAGAAAATGGTGGGTCAACACACTCAGGTCCACTCTGGGAACTTGGAGTTTTTTGGGAGTAGTTGGGGTTGGGGAATCCCCCAGGGAGGTGAATAGCTTACTTACCTTTTGTGTCACAGTCTTGGAAGGAAATGGCCCCTTCCTGCTTGGTGGTAAGGCCCCCACCACAAGGGAAGCATAGGGTCCGTCCTGTTTCAGGTTGGTAGGTACCACGTGGGCATGGCTGGCAGGGCTTGAAACCATCTACAGAGTGTTGGCCAGGTGGGCACTGACCTGCAATGAATCAAGGACCCAACTCTGATGGGGATGGTCCTGAGTCATCCCCATGGGGGTCACCCAATCTCAGGGGACAAAGGCATACAAACAGGATGTTGACTATAAGAGAGTGGCCTGGAGCCTGGGCCTGCCCTTTGGGAAATCCCATGCCCATGGGCGTCCCAGTGCCCACCCTACCCCACTCTGTATTGTTTGTTCCCCTGGCACCTGCACACGTGGTGACGCTGGTGGCTCCAAGAGGCCCGTGGGCATCACTCCCAGGGCAAAGGTCGCAGGAGAGCTGCCCTTCTCTCTCCTGGAAGGTGCCCGCTGGGCATGGCACACACTGCTCCGTCTGGCCGTGGTAATACGTTCCCTGCGGGCAGCTGACTGAGGGAGAGTCGGCCGTGCTAGCCACCCACCCCCCCCCATTTCCCACCACCCAGGCCTGGGACTCCCCACTCCCCCCATAGCCCCAGGTTTAGGGAGAATCTCTTTGTCAGCAAACAAACACAATCCTACTTGTGGGGATAGGAGGGTCAAAGCTGTGTGCAGGAGGATTGCTGGCCCCACATGGCATCCTTCTAGATTTCAGCCTGGGACCAGGGAAGATAGGACAGCAGGCAGTAGCATCCTGGCTGCCTCATAATTTGAGAAACACAATTGAGACCACAAAGGGTCCTGCTCTGAGCCAGGCCCAAACTGGGTCTTTTCCACATCTCTGCTCCCCAGTAAGCTCCCTTACCACACTTAGCCCCAGCACGGTGCTGCCCAGGCCTACAGGACTCCATCGGCTCTGCTCGCTCCCCGGCTACTGGGCCCGGCTTGTGGGCCAGCTCATAATCAAGGCCTGCCAAGCGCAGCAGGAAGCGGTCCTGGTTGATTGACTTTCTGATCATCTTCAGGGATCCTTTCAGCCGCCGTTCCATTCGCTGTCGGAGACAGGGCAGCCCACAGCTGGCTGGTGGTGGATGGCCATGTGTGTCAGGGAGGAGGAGAAAGAGTTGCTGTGAGCAGGAGGGCAGGGGAACAAAGCTGGGAGCTAGGAGGGGTATGGTAAAAGGGACTAGCTTAGGCTTGGCACTAGATAAGGTCTGCCCCTAGTACAGGCTCCATCCCTTCCTTTTGCTACTGAGACCTGTGGTTTCCCCACCTCTGCCCTCCCCTTCCAGTCTTCTTCCCAACAGAGCTCCCAGTCCCACCTGTGGTTTCTTCGGCTCTGACCTCTGCTTCCAGTTCCAGGGTGAGCCGTGTGACCTCCTTGCCTGGAGGGGTCCGGGCCCGTCGGCCCTTGCCCTTCCGAGAAGAGTCACACTTAAGGTGGATGAAGGTGACCTGGCATTCAGAGCAGGGGGCACCACCTGGGAGAGAGAGCTTGTCAACCCCAGGAAAGTTCAATCCCCTGGAAAGTTCTCACTCCCAGTCTCACTTCTTCACCCCAACCCAGACAGACCTCCCCAGATCTCTGACTAACTATCTCTTAATCTAGGGTCCTAATTAGTTGGTGGAGGGGAATATTTTGGAACTTCCTTGGATCCTGTTGCCTATAGCTGCTTTTTCCTCTGCTCTGCCTAGAGTTCAGGGTGCTGGTGGGTTTTTGAAAGAGATCTCACTAAGAGGAGCTGAGGGGTAAGGAGGGTTTAGTGGCCAGATAGCAAATTGGAATGGGGTCCCCAGTCCAGACCTGGCCCTGTGATTCTGCCAGCCTCCTCTGTTTTGCCTTTGTTTCGCAGGTGCAAACGACATTTGGCATCTTTGATCTTGAAGGAGACCCGTTGTTTAATGGGCATCACTGTAGCCTCTAGAGGGATGGCAGAAACTCAGCACAGTATGGGATGCCCATGGAGTTCAGGGGTGCTGTGGGGGATGTTGAGGAAGCTGGGCAATAAGCTGGCTGGGGAAGTGAGATTTTGAAAGCCAAGGAGATCAGATATTAGAGCAGAGGCAGTGAGAGAGCAGGGGTGGAGAATTACGACAGGGCAAAAAAGAGGATCCAGGAGAAAGGAAGGCTAGGGGATTGACGAAGAAGAAAAATAAGGGATTAATGCAAAAGAGTAGGGTGTGAACAAGGCTTCTGGGCTGGTGCTCACCATGGCAGTGGTTGGAGTTTGTGCTGTTCCCGTTGTGGCCAGCTCGGGCTGGAGCAGCCTTGGGGCTGGGGATGCCACAGCTCACCGTGAAGCCATTCTCAGATTCTGAGAGAAGGAGCCTATCACAGTTCTGGTCTGCCTTTCCAACCCCCACTGGCTGGAGGAATCCAAAGGGAGTGAAGGAGCTGCCTGAATGGCCAGCCCTTCCTCTTTTCTCCTCCACAGCTCTCCAGCACCCTCCTCCCATGTACCTGGCAAAAACCGGGCCCTGGAGGGACAGGTCAGGGCACAGGTGTCCTTCTTGCCAGACCGGTTGCAGCTGAGCATGGCTTTTGAGGTTCCAGGACTGCCTTGACATTTCACTGGCTCTAGGAAGGGGAGAGAGGCCTGAGGAAATGGGTACATTCCTTTCCCACCCTCTCCCTCAGTTGGGTAATTTGGAGGAAAATAATCAGCTACTTGCATAATAATTGTTGTACCCATGGAGACTGGTTGATGGGATTATTCACTACGAATTTCATGTCTTTAACTCAAAATGGCTACATTCTCCACCCTTTCCCACCTCACACCTTTCCTCAACACGATACTCTATGATGCAGTGTCATCTTTGGCCAGCAGAGGGCACTGCCCACCTGTGCAATCTTTGCCGTTCCAATGCAGCCGGCCCTGGCCTGCTGGGCAGGTACACTGGTAGCTTCCAGGAGTGTTGATGCAGCCAAAGCGGCAACCTCCCCGGTTGATGCTGCATTCATCCACATCTGGGAGAAGGAGTAGGGAAACAGAAGAACAACGATGGAGTTGGAGGAGGAGTCAGAGAGTGGGCAGTGAGGGCCTTTGGTTAGAGTTCCAGGTACTCTGAGTTATGCAAGATGAGTAAGTTCAAGAGATCTACTGTACAACAATATGCCTATAGGTAACAGTACTGTAGTACACACTTAAAAATTTAAGAAGGTAGATCTCATGTTAAATATTCTTACAATTTAAAAAAGTTAAAAAAGCATTCTAGGCACTGTAAGATGACTCTTGGCTCAAACATCCTCTCCTTATCACTGTTTCCAAAGGAATGATTGAGAAAGGGCCAAGCTGACAAGCTTTTCTTTTTCTTTTTTTTTTTTTTTTTGAGACAGAGTCTTGCTCTGTCTCCAGGCTGGAGTGCAGTGGTTCGATCTCAGCTCACTGCAACCTCTGCCTCCCAGGTTCAAGCGATTCTCCTGCCTCACCCTCCCGAGTAGCTGGGACTACAGGCATGCACCACCATGCCCAGCTAATTTTTACACTTTTAGTAGAGATGGGGTTTCATCATGTTGGCCAGGATGGTCTTGATCTCTTGAGCTTGTGATCCACCCGCCTCAGCCTCCCAAAGTGCAGGGATTACAGGTGTAAGCCACCACGCCTGGCCAAGCCAACAAACTTTTTAAAGCCTTTACTCCTCCACACCAGTGAGACCATCATTTGGGAGATGAGAGTGGGAGTTCAGGGAGTTATAGCAATGGGAGATAGGAATTTTGGAGGCAGGATGCTGTTTCCTCAGTCTCCCAGTTGTTCTTCAGACCCTGTCTTAATTCCTCCTATTTTATCACAGTGGATGCAGACATGGTACATGCACCCAGGGATGGCCCATAGCTACAAGCCAACACAGGGACCTATTCAATTGGAGGGTGAAGAGGTGAGGGGGCCAGGGTGGCTGGGGGTGCAGGCTTACTAGCTTACCCCCACAGTGGGTGACACCATACAACAGGTAGCCACGATGGCAGAGACACTGGAAGCTTCCTGGTGTGTTGACACATACGTGGTCACAGGTTCGATCGAAGGAACACTCGTCTATATCTGGAAGAGCAGAGATTCAAGCCACTGAATGGAGCACTTGACCCTTGCTTAGGTGAAGGACCCAAAGCCTTGGTTTTCCCCCTTGAACTGAAGAGTCCTATTCATGTCCTAGCTTTGGGACCAGTGATTTAACCATGCCAATTCATCTTCTATGCTCCCTTTACTTGGAGTCCTTAGAATTAGGAAGGGCCACCATGTGTGGTTAGGTATATCCTACTCTGCCAAGGATATTGTCCTGTTCTGCCAAGGATGTGAATTGGGGTGAAATCCATCCCTCCTTGCCAAGCTGAGTGCTTTGATATGGAGCTGGTCTGCTGAGGGGAAAGGGTAGCATTTGCTAATTCACAGGATGACACTGCCTGTAGAGACTGCATGGTGTCTATTCTAAGACTTTAGTCCTCTGGCCTCTTTGAAGCTCTCCCACAATAAGAACCACTCCTAAGGCTTTCACTTTTGCTGGAGTTTGCTCACCCTGGCAATTCCTCTCATTGATGAGAAGCTTATAGCCTTTCTTGCAACTGCATTCGAAGCTGCCCACTGTGTTGCGGCAAATGTGGTCACAGCCCCCGTTGTTTAAGCGGCACTCATCTATATCTGAAGAAGGAAAAAATAGGATAAAAGATAATATCAAAGGCTGAGAACAAATAAGGAGCGAATCCCTCCCTCAGTGACAGACATGCAAAAATCAAGGAGAGTCCAAGGCCTGCCTCTTCTGACTCCTCTCTCTCCTGTCTCTCTCCCGTCTCTGTTTCTTCCCTGTTCAGGGGATCTGTGGCCATTAGTAGCACCTTCTCTTCTGGGATTTAGTGGGTTTTTTTGTTTTTTGTTTTTTGTTTTTTGAGACAGAGTTTGGCTCTTGTTGCCCACCCTGGAGTGCAATGGTGCAATCTCAGCCCACCACAACCTCTGCCTCCTGGGTTCAAGTGATTCTCCTGCCTCAACTTCCTGAGTAGCTGGGATTATAGGTGTACACTACCACGTCTAGCTAATTTTTTTGTATTTCAGGGTTTCTCCATGTTGGTCAGGCTGGCCTTCAACTCCCAACCTCAGGTGATCTGCCCACCTCAGCCTCCCAAAGTGTAGGGATTATAGGCGTGAGCCACTGCACCTGGTCCTGATTGAGTGTACTTAAAAGGGGGCAAATGGGAAACAGAATCAGGCCCTCAGGGAATTGCATGGAAGAGGGAGCAGGTGGGCATTTGACCTACAGGGCTAGCTCTTAGTCTCCAGCTAATGACCATTCCCAGAAAGGCTGGGGTAAGGTTATCTTTTTCCTGTCCCTCAGTCCTGTCATAAGGGCCCTGTCAAGAGCTCTGAGGAGGGCATCGGGGCAGCGGGCAGGGAGGGGGTCAAGGAGAGGTGGAGAGTCAAAAGGGACTCACTGAAACGGGGCAGCCCTTCAGAGAGGAGGAGGAGCTGGGAAAGAGGCCAGGCAGGGAGGACCTCCAGGAGAGCCAGTGAGGCTGGGTAGCTGATGGGGGAGGGCTAGGGGCCAGGCAGGGGCCTGGACTGGGAGAGATCTGGAGAGACTCAGGCCTGAGGCAGTTTTCAGCACTAGTAAAGGAAAGGGGGGTGGTAAATGGCTTCCTTCCTGAGGTCAAGTTCCCCAAGCTGGTGGCAGACAGGACCCAGGCTGCTCACCCCTGGTTGGGGAAGAGGGCAGAGAGGGCAGCCTTCCACTTCACTCTTGGCATACCTGTCAACAGTCCTTCCCAGCAGGAAACCTCTCAACTCTGGCAGGCTGACCTGCTGCCCCAGCCTCCCCCTTCCTTCTTGCAGCTGTTGGGCCAAAAGACACAAAGAACGAGCCCAGTCCTCCTTCTAGTCCCCACTCCTTGTGACCAGGGACATGGACCTAATGAATCACCATTTTCACTATGGCTACCCTTCCTTTTTCCTCCTCCCTTTCCCCCAGTTCTCTCTCAGACCTGGCTAAAAGGAGGGGAAACAGAATGGATTATGTGGGTAACTATACTGTAATACCAATTTACACAAAGTGCTTACCATTTGCTAAGCACTGTTCTAAGTACTTTTTATATAATAACTCATTTAATTCTCACAACACAGTATGAGGCAAGCACTATGGGAAAACTGAGGCATGGAGACATTAAGAGACTTGCCCAGGATCACAGAGCTAGTAGGAGATAGGGCTGGGATCTGAACCCAAGTAGCTAGGCTCCAGCTTCAGTCCTCCTAACTGGTATCCTACTTTTCCTTTGACCAGTACAGCCTTTTGAGGTGGGGAGATCATTTCCCCAGAGCCCACTGGAAAGGTCTGAGGGATGTTATGGAACAAAGGTTATGAAGGTTATGGAACACACCTATGACCTTGTCCACACACAAAGTCAGCTCAAATATCCTTCCAGACCCAGAAGCAAATGTGAATCACATGTCCATTAATTAAGAGAGTTAGGGACCCGTGGGGGATAGGAATGAGAGTAGGGAAACAAGGTGGAGTAAGAGAAGGGGCACTAAGGAACTGGCTGGACTTCTCTGCCCCTTGAACTTAGATGGAGCAGGTAGATAGGAGACAACACTTAAGCTATGTCCTGGGTTCTTTATAAGAAGGAAGTTGAAAAGGTGTTATCCCATAATAGGCACCCTATCTCTGGTCCCAACCTCAGCCTCTTACCAAAGGTCACTCTGCTTCTGTCCTTTCAAAGTCCTTACCTTTGCAGGTCTTCCTGTCTGGCTGCAGCATGAAACCCACAGGGCAGGTGCAGTGGACACCAGTCGCTGCATCATGGCACTTACTGTCACAGCCCCCGTTGTTGACAGCACAAGTCTCTGTTTAGGACAGAGATGGGGGATAGTAACCAGGTTAGAAACCTGGAGGAGTCCCAGACTCTGAGGGTAATGGAGATCACGGAGGCCTGAGGGAAGGCCTCAGCTGCCTCCCTGTGCTTTAGGAGGAGCATTAAGCCGAGGGAGGCTCCCAGCCCCCTTCCTCCCATCACTCCCAACCCCCATCCCCTTACAAGTACAGCCAAGCAGTCCACTTCCCTGCCCCCTACTTGATTGAAACAAGGTGGACAGCAGTGAGGCAGGTACAAGCCAGAGCTGTCAGGCAGGAATGTGCTGAGGGGGTGGAGGAGGTGGTGGGGTGTAGGGAGGGACAGGAGCTAAGTGAGGGTGGTTCTGGCCGCCAGGGAACTGAAGGGACAGATAGGAGTTTCTTCGTTTTCTGTCTCTATGGTGGGTGTGTAGGGATTGTGGTGGGACAATCTTACTGTAGGTGGATTGGAAAGAATGAGCCTGGCCATTCCTAAGACAACTGAAGAATACCCATCAATTTATCTTCCCCTTCCCCCCTGCCTGACTATCTTAAGAAAGATCCCACTTCCAGGACACAGACTGCTCATCCTCAGAGGAGACAACACATACTGGGTTAATCTACCTTCAGCTCCTCCCAAACCCTCCTTTTAGTTCTAGATGGAGATAAGCTGGCTATTTTGTTGTTTTACTTTGCTAATGGGGAGATGTTGTATAGGAGAGGAAGGGGCAAAAGAGAAAAATCCAGAGAAGGAAAAGTGTAAAAAGGTCAGTGAAAGAATTAACCTCAGAGCTTGATAAGACCTAAATCCTTATTTTGGCTAAGTCTCTTATGCTGCTCCCTTTTAACTGGTAAGTTTTCCCTTTCACTGAAAGGTCAGAGTAGGAGGAGTATGTGGCTGGGTCGCTCTCCCTATTTTCTGAATTCAGAGCAGGAGAAAAAACAGGTTTAAATAGTAGCTTGGGAAAGTCAGATGTGTCCAAGGAAAAGCCATTAGTTTAAACAGTGAAAGGCCCTGATACAGAGACCGTGGAGATGGTGTGGACTGTCCTCTTGGGGTGACTAGAATTTTCCCATTAGAGAGAGAGAATCCCAACGCCTCCACTAGGAAAGATAGAAGAGTGGTTCTCAGAATCAAGGGAATTGAATAAGACAAGTACTAGAAGTACTGCCATCTTCTTGAGTTTCTGACTCTTCACACTCAGGCCCAACTCTTGTCACCAGTGAGAACAAGAAGGCCAGGGCTCCAAAAGAAGCCTAACTCTATCTGGGTTCCTGGCCAGGCCCTGGTCCATCAAATGCCCATGTGTGGAGCAGCCCAACCTGGAGTGGGATATTCTTTGTACCATTTCCACTTCAGTCTCTCCTGAGGCTCCCAAGACTATGGGAGGAACCTAGTAGGGAACCTTGAGTTCAGGTTCCAAACTTAGCCCCTTAAGAGTGCTCTTAGCAGAAGAGGTCCAGTAAGCCCAGGAGCAGGGGGAGGGGCACAGAGATCCTGTGCCAAGGCCAGCTGGCTTCTGAATGATGTAGGATATAGGGAATAGCAGAGCTGGCACAATGTCCATCCTAGGCTGACAAGCTGGGCATAGCTGCCCACATCTGCAGGACAGCATTCTCGAGAGTAGGGTGGAGCAGCAGGACCGTGTATATAATCTCACCCCTTTGCTTTTAAGGTCACAATATTAAAACCACAAGTAAGGCCGGGCGCGGTGGCTCAAGCCTGTAATCCCAGCACTTTGGGAGGCCGAGGCGGGTGGATCACGAGGTCAAGAGATCGAGACCATCCTGGTCAACATGGTGAAACCCCGTCTCTACTAAAAATACAAAAAAGTAGCTGGACATGGTGGCACATGCCTGTAATCCAAGCTACTCAGGAGGCTGAGGCAGGAGAATTGCCTGACCCCAGGAGGCAGAGGTTGCGGTGAGCTGAGATCGCGCCAATGCACTCCAGCCTGGGTAACAAGAGCGAAACTCCATCTCAAAAAAAAAACAAAAAAAAAAAACCCACAAGTTACCCTGTGCTTTTGCTGTGCCAGGCACTTCCCAGATAGATGCTCCACATGTACTCAATCATTACAACCCTAAGGTCAATGAGGATTTTTTCTGAGGATCAGAGAGGAAAGTAGCTGGCCTAAGGTCATACAGTTAGAAAGTGGCAGAGCCAGGATTCAAACTCAGGTCTGCCTGAACACACATGCCATGCTCTTAACCATTATGGTGGGAGAGAATGGTAAGCGATGCGGGGACTGTGAACTAATGTGGGTAAGAACCCAAGAAAGAAGCCCCAAGGAGGGGATGGCATCTAACCCTATCACACCCCTATCTCAGGTGGCACAGTGGGGAAGATGGGGGTGGCTGGGTAGAGAGGGGGTGGGGTGTTAAAATGTGGGTGTGGGAGGAGACAGCAGAAGAGGAAGGGCAGAAGGAGAGTGACAGGAACAAAGATAAGACCAGCATGAAAGCTCCCAGGCCAGCTCTTAGGGATTTAGGTTTCTTGTCACCCGATGGGCCCAGTGCCCAGGCTGCCAGCGTAGTTCTGCTGGCAGGTTGGGGCCCAGTCAGGCTGGGCCCAGTGGGCATGCAGTTAGTGGGAGCTCCAGCAGGTTAGCACTTCCCCTAGCAAGCCAGTGAGAGCAAGCGGAGAGAGCAGACATATTTACCATTAGAAACGGCCTGAGTGGGGATGTGCTGCTCTAGCCGCCTTTCCCCTGTTTGACATTGTAAAAAAGCTGTTTAGATTTGGGCAGGAGCCACTGTGGCCCTCTGGGCCCCAGACCCCTTCCCACCCTCTCCTCCCCGCTGCCAGCCCAAACCACTAGCCCCAGATGATGAACCCTGGGACCCTTATGACAGCTTCACTCCTCATCCTTATCCTGTCCGGTGGTATCCTCAAAGATGCCAAGCTCCCCTCAAGTGACTGAAAAACTGTAATGGTTTTAGAAAGGGGCAACCAACCATGGGCCCAATACCATAGAGTATGCCCAGACCTAAGCTGGGAATGCACCCTTAAGTCTGACTAACCACAGAATCCCAAATCCCAAAGGGTGCCGCCCTTTCTGCTAAACTATACTGCCCTCTCCATCTTCCCACTGAATCTGAATGTTCTGAAAGTCCCAAACAATGGTTTTTCCTCTTACCAGGGATGGCCAGAAAAATTAGATATACAGTAAGGTAAAATAAGTTCTGTTGGAGAAGAGGAAGAGGAACTAGGAAAGAAGATAACTGTAAACCCCAGAATAGCTTCATTTGCTCTTTTCTGCCTCATTTGGCCGTGGCGCAGTGGTGGAATAGGTCTTGACTTAGAGAAGAGCTGAAGCTGAATAGGGATGTTTTCAGAAGCAACCATGTCTGGCACTCTGAACAGAAAGAAATCACAGAGGGATTAGACCCTCACATCCCTGGTCCCTGATTCATGCATCTTTTCTTTGGGGACAACAAACAATTTCTTTTGAGAGAAATTTTGGGGATGTGTGAATGTGTGCAGGAGGTGGTGGGAGGTTTGAAAAGCAAAAGAATTAGACCTATGAGTAAAAAGTGAAATGAGCTGAAACACACTAGCCTAAAGAAGGCAATGAGAAGACTTAAAAATGTTCTGGGGTCTTTGGAGAGTTAATTCAGAGGGAAATGTGGCAGGAGAGATTTTAATTATATAGGGACTTCAGAACTGTATTTGCAAGTCTGTGGAGCAAGTGCCTAAGGGAGCCCTGTAAGAGCGTGATCTGCTCTCCAGTTCTTGTTCCTGCAGTGAAGGGGAGAGGTCTCTGGAGAGTCTAATTCTTCAGTTAATGTCATGTCTCTGATATATATGGCTTCATACACAATGACTGGATTCATACCTCTCCATCCTCAGCATGCTGCAGCCCACCAGATGGACAGTCATTGATAAACACCTATGCCTACACAGCAAGCTTGTGCCCTGCTTGGCTAAAGACACAGCCTCTCTCCCTGCCAAATCTCTTCATTTCCCACTTCTCCAGGGGGATATGTTATCCCATCATCCTTCTCAGCACTAAAGACCTAAAGGCTGAGGGAATTATGAATTAAAGGAATTAAATTAATCTAGGGTACCTGAAAATATATGAGATGAGGCCTAGGAATTCAGGAGGAGGGATCCAGGTATTAAGAGGGCCCCAAATCAAGGTGAGAGATGGAAGGCTGGAGTTGGTGAGGAAGAAAGAGGGTTGCTGGTGGAGCTGAGAGGGAGTACCATTGGCATATGGGGGAGAGAAGGAAATGGGGACTAGGGTGAGGTGAGCAGAAAGGGGAATTGCAGGAGAGTGAGGAGAGAAAGAATGAAGAGGAAAAAGACACCTGGAGCCTGGAAACCCCATCTGTCAGTTCAGGGATGGTTGTTCCAGGAAGGAGCATTCTGTCCCACCCTCAGTTCCAGAGTGGAGACACTGGGCTTTGATAATTCCTCTCTTATCACACTAGTCAACCAAGGGCTTCTGGACAGGCCTAAGCAGATGCATTTCCCCAGCTCTCTTCCCACTTCTCAACCACAGCCTTGCTCAATAAGTAACTCTGCTTATTATTCCCAGTTTAGCAACACTTTGTTCTGGGATGAAGAGGGTGGTGAGGCTCCTGGGACAGGGTGGTAAAACCAGTAGGATGGGGAGGGGAAGAGGGCTGGGGAGCCCTTCAGTTTCTCTTAGAGTTGTCCCTCACTAGACCTGGCATTGTCTGGGGTCTTAACTCCCTCACCAGGCCCTATGTGCCCAGCAGCTGGGCACATGCATTCCTCTACTTCCCTGGTTCCCACGGACTCCCACCCCCACCCCCATCTCAGGTAGACTGAGTTCTCCCTTGGCCTCACCCACCGATGCATGTCTTCCCATCGGTATGGAGCACAAATTTGACGTGGCAGCCGCACCGGGGACCCTGCTCTGTGTCATCACACGTGTGCTGGCAGCCGCCGTTACCGTAGTTGCATGTCACTATGCACAGAGAGGACAGAGGTCTGTCAGCTTGCTCCTCACTGGATTCCACGGTTTCCCACAATGTGGGTACTGGCCCTCTTGCCTAGTTGCCTCCCCCATACTCCCTTTTCCTCCTAGCCCTGTCCTCTTGCTCCTGAAGCCCTATACCCCTCCTCTTTGTTTTCATCCCCAACCCCACTCCCCCAGCTGCCATCCCAATTATCTCACATTTACAGTCTCGTTGGTTCTTGGTAAGCTCAAAGCCAGGACGGCATTCACAGGCAACACCCCCCTTGGGTGTCTCCCGGCAAATGTGGGCACAGCCATGGTTCTTGTTCATGCAGTTCATGCCTTCTAAAAGAGAAGAAAAGGGGGGTGAATGCTCTGTACCCCTGGATGTCTAGTGGAGGGGACGAGACGGGGCAACTGGGGACCTAGGGAGGATAATTGGTATAGATGTTTCCTATGCAATTTTGTTCAACAAACACTTATTAAACTCTCACTACATGCAGGCTAGTATGTTAGGTGCTGGGGATGTAATGATGAATTAGACATTTAGTCCCTGCCCTCAGGGATGTCACAGTCTAGTGGGAGTGAGGGCATGAGTCACAGAAATAGACAATATATACCCCATTATTCCTGCCTGACCCTGCTAGGCCAATCCAAGGAAGAAGGCACTGATGAGGCCCTCTCAGATAGGCAGCAGCTCAGAGAAGCTCAGCCACCTACAAGTAGGAACAACATTCACCTCAGGTCTGTACACGGAAGATACTCCATAATAGTCCTAATCCCATATTGATCCCAATCTCAAGGTAATTTCCCCAGATTTTGCCCTAACAGGGTGGCTGTTCCTGGATCCCTTAGGGTGTTACTGAGTTGAAGGACAAGAGAAGGAGCTAGCTGAGTTGAGAACAGAGGGTGAGACTTAAGGGCTGTTGAGGGACAGCTGGGAAGAAAAGCCTGGGGAGGGCAGGGAGGGGGCCATCCCAGGTCATGGGCTGACCTTCTGGACGCTGGATACAGGTATGCTGGTTGTCGCTGAGGAAGAAGCCTTCCCGGCAGTGGCACTCATAGCTGCCCATCATGTTGACACAGCTCTGCTGACAGCCACCGTTGCCCTCGGCACACTCGTCCACATCTGTGCAGGATAGGTAGTCAGTGGGGCCGTAGGTGCAGGCGGGCTCCAGGTTGTATCCCAGTACTTCAGCACCAAAGGCAGTTTTAAGAACTACTACCCCATAAGCCCAGCCTTAAGCCAGGAAGTCCTCACACCCTTGTCAGCTAATATTCCACTAAGTGAGAAGAGGCTGCCCTGAGGGCAGAGCTGGGAAGCTAAGCAAGTGGGGGACAAGGAGACCTTTGAATCTCAAATGTCACCTAGGTGAAACCATGCCTCTCTTTTCCTCACCTGTGGAAACTGGGTATGAGGACATAGGACATCAGGAAAGAAGCCAGAGCAAGAGGAACAGTGATGATGGTAAGGATGGAGATTGGTCACATTGGTTGGAGAGAGGTAACTGGGGGTGGCAGCTGGTTGCGATGGGCAGCCAGGGAATCTAGGAGCCTGGGAAGTGGCTCTGGGTACAGAGAGAGCTATGGCCATGGTGCTGAGGCTGGAGGGGTAGGGTGAGGAAAGGCAGCTGAGCCTCAACTTCTTGTGGGGTAGAGACCATTTCTGCCGACAGGCCACGGCCCCGTCCTTCCTCCCCTGCCCCGATGCCTGGGCTTGCTGCCATATCCCTAGCCTTTCTCCTATTTTGGTTTAACAAAACAAAAGTGGCAGCTTGGCAGGGAGGGATCTGGGGAGAGCTGCTAGGCCACACCCTAGATGGTGGAGGTGGAAGGTATAGGGAGAAGAAGAGGCTCTCACCCCCAAATCACCACCCCCCAGGTTCAGTAGCTTGGGGTCCTCAATTCAACATCTTGACTCTCACCCTGGGGCCCTCAATTCAACATCTTGACTCCATCTCTACATTAGTTACTGCCCTCCCAAGTCCATGGCCCTTCTCAGTTTGCCTTGCCCACAGAGGCAACAGGTAGACTGGTTGTCAAATGGAGCAATTAGAATCTGGGCTCCTGAGGGCCTCATCTGCCCCTCTCTTCCCATCCTCTCTGCTGAGATCCTGAAACCATTTCTTCCCCCTTCTGGCCAGGGCAGAGAGATCCAGATCCAGCTGGCTCTTGCCTGGGCAATACACCAGTTAGAAGAGCTAAGGTGTACTTTACTGTGCTTTGCTCCTGTCTCCGCCCTAACTTTTGCTATTCTCTTGACTTCTCCCCATCCCTGTCTTCCTGCTCTTGCCACATCCTACATTCCATCCTTCTGTCTGCTCCCTTACCATCTAACCTTGTAGCTTTGCTACTCTAGCCAAGCTCTTTCCTCCAATTATCAGTAGGGAAACTGAGGCCTATAGCATGGACAACTTTCTCAAGATTCCCCTAAGAGCCAAAGTTAGTACTGAGACTTCGAACCCTAACCCTAGGTAATCTTTGTCCCTTGACTCTATACCTAATCATTATCTTGTCCCTCTAGTTGGTTCTCCCAAAAACACTTATAGGGAAACAAGATATGGTGAGAATCAGGGCCTAGAAAAGTCAAAGGTGGCCAAAGAACTCAAAAGCTCATGTGCGTGTCCTGTAGGCAACTCACTGTCCTGGTCTAAGTGCCACAGCTTCCCTTCCCAAAGGAGTTTCATAAGAGGCCGTCAAGAGTGATTGGGCAGATAGAAATGAGGCCCTTCCCTGGAAGCTAAAATGGTAGGAGAAGTGACCAGGGCTGGGATTAAGGGCCCAGCAGGTATCAGGATTTGGAGGCCTGGGTTGGGTGTAGAAACCTTTAACCTGGGTTCAGGGATGGGGTATGACTGTGTTTGGAGGAGGCTCTGCAGTAAGGAGACTCTCCTCAGCCAATAGGACTTCAGAGAATTCATCTGTTTGGTCAATTGGTGGATGGGGACCAGCCCAGCCTGCTTTTCTGAACATCATTCCTCTTGTTTCTCTTCCTTTCCTGGTCCTTTATGCTTCTATTGCCTGTTTTCTATTGTGGCTACAGGAAGGAGTTTAGGAGAAGGCCCTGAGTTCAAATTTCAAATCCTTTTCTGCTATGAGTTTCAGGTTTTCTACTTGGGGAAGAGACTGACTTGGTCCCAGTAATTTTCCAAAATGACAGAGACCATAGTTGAGTTCAGTTCCTTAAAGATTCTCTTATCTCTGACCCAGCTCTTTGGACAAAGGAGATCAGTGAGGAGAGGGTGAGACGAGATTGCAGGAAGAACTGGAAGAAAACAAGCCTGTAAGAAGCAGAGGCTCCCTGGGGCCTCTGCACCGTCATCATCATCATCAACATTCTTCCCATTACCGAGCACCTACTAGGTGCTAAGGATTGTACAGGGCTCTTTTCACATGTTGTCTTGTGGTGATCCACACGGCAGCCTTTGAGTGGGTTATTACCACATCTATTCTATTTTATTATTATTTTTCGAGATAAGATTGTCGAGGCTGGAGTGCAGTGACATATTCATGGCTAACTGCAGCCTCGACCTCCTGGGCTCAAGTGATCCTCCCACCTCAGCCTCCCAAGTAGCTGGGACTACAGGTGTGTGCCACCACGACTGACTTATTTATTATTATTATTATTATTATTATTATTTGTAAGGACAGGGTCTCACCATGTTGCCCAGGCCTGTCTTGAACTCCTGGCTCAAGCAATCCTCCTGTCTCAGCCTCCCAAAGTGCTGGGATTACAGGTGTGAGCCATCACACCTGGTCCCACCCCCATTTTAGAGAAGAGAATGCTGAGATTTCCAGAGACTGACTGATATTCCCAAGACCCAAAGCTAGTAAGCAGCAGAACCAAGATATCTGTGTGGAGCCAAATCAGCTTTCTAACATGCCTCACCACTGGCTAAGCCCACTATTCCCATCTCCTGGCCCTTGCCCTAGGAGCATTTCATAGCAGCTTCTCCTCTGATGTTTTTCATCCAGCAGGATTTTTCATCTTAAGTGGCTTGTCTCAAAAAGGAGGCTGACCTTATTCTCTTGTTAATGTAGCTCTTTTTGATCACTTTCTCCTCCTTCCCTGAGAAATAGGAAATACTGAAAAGACCTCTTTCTCCACAAGACAACCCTCCACCAAATCCCCTCTCCTTTGCTTACCCAGACAGTTGTGTCCGTCATGTGCCAGGTGGAATCCATCATAGCAGGTACACCGGTAATTGCCAGGGATGTTGACACAGTCATGCACACAACCTGCATTGTCCTCTCGCTCGCACTCATCCACGTCTGTGGGCAAAGAGAAGCTAAGACAGCTGAACCCACCTGTGAACTCACTGTCCACCCCCAGACTCAGCCTTATGGTTGTGTTTACGTAGTTATGTTTATGTCCTATAAGCATTTAGCATTTTGGTGTTTTCATTTAAGCCTAAGTCATAAACATTTTCATGTCTCCAACCAGTCTTTCTAATTACCACTGTACATGGTTGCAGAATATTATTTTTCTATTCTCATAACTTTTTTCTCTATTGTTAGACATTTAGATTTCTTTCATTTATTTTTACCATCATAGATAATGCATCAAAGGAACATCTTCTCCCATATATTATTTTGTTTCTTTGAATAAGTCCCCAAGAGTAAAATTCCTGGATCAAAGGAAATAAATACCTTTGAAGATTCCTGGTAGGTATTACAAAATTACTTTTCAATTTATAATGCAACTAGGAATTAAGTGTACCCTGTCCACTAAAAGTCTTACCGACACTGAAGCTCATAAATACGGTATCTCAAGACTAATTTGTATTGATTTAATTGTGAGGGGAAGATGTGTTTACATTATGAACTTCCTCTGAAGCATACCGTCTCTTCCCTTCCATTGTGGGCTTGGTGTAAGGGTCTAAAGATAAAGGTTCCAGTGCCAGGAAACCTCAGGCCTTAGTTTCATGATTCTTATGCTCCTACCCCAGACAGACTGTGAACTGTCCCTACCAGGGTTTCTGCTAGCCTGCATGGTGCCTTTGTGCAAATTAGAAAATGGCACCCTCTCTGGGAAGTGTATTTGCCCTCTCATCCGCCCCACTTGACCAGTGGAATTTCTAGCCTTGGTGTGATTGAGAGTGGCCAACTGAGGGCAGTGGCACTGGTTTGCCCTCTTCCACAGGTCCCTCTCCTCCAGGTACCCTCACAGCCTCACCTTTGCAGTGTTTGCCATCTCCTGTGTAGCCAGACTTGCAGATACACTTGTATGACCTTGGGGTGTTCTGGCAGATAGCATCGATGTGGCAGTTGTCAGTCCCCTCCACACACTCATCCACATCTGGCAGGAGCAGAGGGGGCACATCAGAACCTCTGTCGGCACCTCTCAAGGGGTATCTTGAAGGTGGGCTTCCAAGGTGGAATCCCCTCTTCTCTAAAACAGAGGCAGTGATCCCTCCAGAAACAGGTGCTGTCCCACATCCCTCTGATTTCAGAGTCGGCAGACACTGATTTCAGGAATTCAGAAAGAACCCCCTGCCCTCAAAAATACTTAATCCACAGTAACAGCTAAAACTCCATCATTCAAAACACTCTTTTATTTGAAAACAAACAGACAACCCTTAGAGTGGGTAGTATATGTAACTTGATTAGGAGTTATCAACTTAAAGTGAATGAATTTATCTTTCTTAGAAGCAGGCTTAGAGGGAGGGAGTGTTAAGGGAAAAGGCATGGGAACAGTGGCCTCTGAGAAGGTAGCAGGGTCCAGCAGTCATTGGTAAAGGAGGAAGAAAGGGGGGTGGGGCATCTGAGAGGTCTTCATCTGTCTCATGATTCTGCTAGAGACCAGGCCTGCTTCCACTTGCCCACCATGGCTCCAAGACGCTTTAGAGGAAAAACGTTCCATCTTGGATGATCTTTCTCAGCCCTTGTGCTGCCAACAATGGAGACATCTGGAGCTGGCAGAGGTTAGCACCAGCTACTAGGAGCCCAATAAGTGCAGCCCTTGAGGCCCTAACCCTCAGTGTTCCTCTCTCTCCTGGCCCTTGCTCTAACAATAGGTACTATACATAGAGCTATACTTGAAGAGGCCAGTCGTGATCTAGCAAAAAGAACATGATTAAGAAAGGACACAGAAGGCCGGGCGCGGTGGCTCACGCCTGTAATCCCAGCACTTTGGGAGGCCGAGGCGGGTGGATCATGAGGTCGAGAGATCGAGACCATCCTGGTCAACATGGTGAAACCCCATCTCTACTAAAAATACAAAAAATTAGCTGGGCATGGTGGCACGTGCCTGTAATCCCAGCTACTCAGGAGGCTGAGGCAGGAGAATTGCCTGAACCCAGGAGGCGGAGGTTGCGGTGAGCCGAGATCGCGCCATTGCACTCCAGCCTGGGTAACAAGAGCGAAACTCCGTCTCAAAAAAAAAAAAAAAAAAAGAAAGGACACAGAAAAGAGTCTTTGGGTAAAAGATTCCAACTTCTGGGGCAATATTATGGTACCCTCAAATCTGAACTGAAATAGAGAAACATGTTACTCAGTTGAAAATGCCTTATTGGGAATTTGTGAAAGGCATCATAATGATGGCTGTGGAGGCTCAAAGGTGACTCAGCCCAGCTAAAAGGAGAAAGAAAAAACATGAAGCAAGATGAGGTAAATGCCCTGAAGGCATGAAAGATAAGGTGAGGCGGTCCTTGACCCTGCATATCAGAGTCAGCTCTCTTAGGAGATGCCCAAGCCCCATCCCCAGAGATTCTGGTCAAATAGCCTGGACTAATATCTGGCCATCAGTATTTTTCTAAAGCTCTTCCGGTTATTCTGATGTGTAGTCAAGGTTGAGAACCTGTGTTACAGGGCAGATCAGAGGAGAAAGATTACTTCCGGAAGTAAACTGGGAAACCCAAAGTAGTATTTTAAGTGGAAGCCTGCAAGTGAAAGAGATGAGATTTGAAACCAAGACAGTTTGACATCCAAGTGTGATCTATGGGCCATAGACTTGCCTGGATTTTGTTAAAATGCATATTCTGAGGACTCATTTTAGCCTTTTTGAATCCAAATCCTTAAGTGATTGATATTTTTAACTGAGTGAATGGATGCATGGACCAGTATTCTCTCCAATTTATAGATACCCGGAGTCCTAGCTTGAGACAGTTATCTGTCCTCTGCTTTTATACTCTGAAGCTTCCTGGCACTATGAAGAGAACTGAAATCCCCAAACACCCTGCCTGAAATCTCACAGGCTTCCGTTCAGTCCTGCATTCTACCCTTCAACTCCTCTGCAGCCAACCATCATGCCTGTTGATTTTAAGTGCCAGAAGCCTCTGTCTACACTTACTCTCCACCTTGCTCAGGCTCTACAGTTATGGTGTCTACCTGCTGGCCCACCCTGAGAAGTGGGTGAGCCAGCAGGTAGACACCCATAGTGAAAGAATAGAAAAGAGAGGGCATGAAAGACTAGTTCATAGGTAAAGGCAAGAGAAATCTTGTAGATGGTAAGAGGCTCTGTGGAGAATCAGTTTGTCCCACTGATGAAAACAATATAAAGAAATGTGCTATCACAGAACAATCATAAGCACTGAAACCAGTTGGTCCCAGATTCAAATCCAGCTCTACCCATCTCTAGGGATGTTTTTCTTATTCTCCATCTCCTCTCCATTAAAATGGGGATGATAATATCTCCTCATGAGAGGCTGTGAGTAGTTAATGGGATAATTTGTGTAAATTGCCTAATAAAGTATCTGGTAAACAGTGGGGTCCCAATACAGGAAGCTTGAGATGGTATTCATTCACTGTTCAGGCAACAGATGGCTCTAGGACAGTATGACAGCCACTAGCCACATGTAGTTATTTAATTTAAAATTCACTTCCTCAGTTGCACTAGCTACAGGCCAGATGCTCAAAAGCCACATGTGGCTAGAGGCTACCATGGCGGAAAGCATAGATATGGAACATTTCCAACACTACAGAAAGTTCTGTTAGATAGTACTGCTCTGGGGTTCTGAATAAGAGATACTCCCTGGGTCCAGCAGCATGGAGATTGGTCTGAACTGCTCCCCTGGCGATATCAGAGGTATGTGCCTATCTCTGAATCAGCTGGTACTTTAAGACTGTGTCAGGCTACATTGGCTCCCAGTTCTTCCCTTTGCCTCCCATTCAGTGCTCACCAGTACTAGAGTGGATCTTGATGCTGATCACCACAAACCCAGGCCTCCTAGAAGATTCTTTTTGTTATTTTACCTGTCCTGCCCCCAGATTCTTTTTTTTTTTTTTTTTCAGACGGAGTCTTGCTCTGTCGTCCATGCTGGAGTACAGTAGTGGTATGGTCTTGGCTCACTACAACTTTCTGCCTCCCAGATTCAAGCAATTCTGCCTCAGCCTCCTGAGTAGCTAGGATTACAGGTGCATGCCATCACACTTGGCTGATTTTTGTATTTTTAGTAGAGACATGGTTTTGCCACGTTGGCCAGGCTGGTCTCAAACTCCTGACCTCAAGTGATCTGCCTGCCTCGGCCTCCGAAAGTGCTGGGATTACAGGCATGAGCCACTGCATCTGGCTGCAGATTCTTTAGACCCCATCTACAGCCAGATTTCTTCTACCATCTTATTGGCCCCTCTCCCTCATCTCCCTGCTCACAATGCTTTTCCTTCTCCAGCAAAGTCTCTGCTCTAGAAGACTTTCTCTCTCCTGTTTCCCCTACAATACCTAACCATCCTTTTCCTTTCCATGCATTTGCACATGTCTCATTATTCACATTGCAGATGCACTCCTTACTTTTCTCTTCCAGCCACACTATGCTCAGCTTTCCATTCTGGCTCAAAATTGTCTTCCCAAAAGCTCTTCCTTGTAAGCCCTGATCCTAGTGAGTTCCTGGTCCAAGGGGACTGTTTTCCTCAGTTCATTTACATCTGTCACTGAATTGCTCCGCTGATACTTTAAGCATGTTCGGCTTTCCTCACTTGGCTAGGTACCTGCTCAGGAAAATGTCCCTTCAATGTTTGTTTGGATTCTTTCGACGCAGAACAGACCTAAGAGCTGTGAAAGGGCCCCACATTATATCCAGCGTCTCCTCTTTTTGCCACTCATTTCTTCCAGAGCTCCTTTCTACCATATGTGCCCATCCAGCATTTGTCCTTGCAAGGACCCTTCAACACTCACAGCAGTTTCATCTTAGTTTGTTTTCTCAGGATGCAAGTGTTTACTAGCTGGCAAACCAGTTGATGCTATTGGGTGTGGACTGGTTTAGACCAGTGGTTCTCAACCCTGGCTGCACACTGGAATTCCCTGGGGGCTTTTGAAAAAATGTGAATGTACAAGTGCCCCCTAGGCCAGCGGAATCAGGATCTCCAGGGCGAGGCCGGGGCCACATCTATTTTCCTTTCCCAACTCAGGTAATGCAAATAAACTATTTGCCTAAACTGGGAAGAGATCAGGGGGCAGCCACATGACAGAGTAGTTAAGAGAGGGGTTCTGGAGCAACACCATCAGTTCTAATGCTAGCTCTACCTGTATCTGTGTGGTCCTGGGCCAACCTCTGAACTTACCAGTTTCCTCTTCTGTATGTGAGAATAATACTAATCATAGTACCTCCCCATGGGGCTTCCAGGAACATCAGATGAGTTAATGCCCATCAAGTACTTAGCACCACATTCTGGGCATATAGCAAGTGCTCAACAAATGTTGGCTTTTTTTCCCTTTATTGTTGAAACAGAGACAGGATCTTGCTCTGCTTGCCCAGGCTGGAATGCAATGGTATGAACACAGCTCACTGCAACCTCAAAATCCTGGACTCAAGTGATCCTCCCACCTCAGCCTACTGAGTAACTGGGACTATATGCATGCACCATCATGCCCAGCTAATTTTTAAAAATTCTTTTTAGGGACAGGGTCTATTGCCCAAGCTGGTCTTGAACTCCTGGACTTGAGTGATCCTCTCATGTTGGCCCCCCAAAGTGCTGGTATTACAGGTGTGAGCCACCATGTGTGACCAAGATTTGCTACTATTATTCCTTCTCTCCAGCTTTCTCCCTGTATCCTTTCTGAACTCCCTTTCCCCTCTCAATGCCCCATTTCAGGCCTGGTGTGGCGAATGCAGCACCAGGGCAGCATGTGTTGGTGGGAGGATTTGGGGAGACACATCCCCACTGCTTACTCTACCTGTGCTGGGAACTGCCCAAAAAGTGGGGGTGAAGTGGGTGAGAGGCCAGTTGGGAACCCAAAAACTGTCCTCCACAATTCTTTTTGAAGGTTAGAGAGACCTCATCCCCACCTACCTCATGCCATGCATTGGAACCAAAGTTGAAGTGGGGGAGAGTGGTAGCTGCAGAGATACCATAGGCAAGCCA